TCTGCATACTCTGTACCGGTCGGGGCATCTTCTTTTAGTGCCCATTGGATTCACCACACATCAGGGGGTAAATTTGTAGGTTATTTTGAAGCGAGGAAAGACGACTGGAGAACTTACGGATATAGCCTAATACCTTATCAACAGGTAAAGTTATCGATTACTCTCGTCTGTTCAGTAAGTGATGGTTTATGTTGTACAACTAGCTGAGCCTGAAAACTTTCATGCAGATTGATAATAGAGGAGGGTTGAGGGGGGGGGGGGGGGGGTTGGAACCAGAGGGAGGGGGCAGCATAGCATTTAAGAACTCATTGTTAAAAAAAACTGAAAGTGATACTATTTATATCCTTAATGATATGCTTGTTTCATGCGTTACGTTAAAGATCTCTTCAACAGTTGGAATCCGAAAAGAGTGGGCTATGGCAGCGAGCCCAGTTTCATTGCATGGCCTTGTGTCTTTATCTGTCCAATAGACTGAAATGAGAAAGTACGACGTGAAACCTGTTCTCTTTTAATTTCAGGGACTAGATTTTCTATTCTGGAATGCAGATGATCATGTCGTCACTGAAAAAAACATAACATACAATTCAAGTAAGTTTGTATAGGTGATGAAAAACAATGCAGATAAGAGAGTTTTTATGATATTCAAACATTCATCCCGAGGGAAGTTCCAAGAGAAGACTTGTTGTTTTTCTTGTGAATTTTGAGAATAATAAAAATAAATGAAATAAGGGGCGCAACTCCTGTTTACAAACTTTAACAAATTTAGCCGGCGACCAGGGAGCTAGACTTTCTTTTTGTCTAGACATTCTGATAGCATCTAATAGCACTGTTCCATATTTCAATCAGTCGTGTGTTGTTCTTGCAATTCTACAAAAAATAAACGGAATTCGTGCAAGGGTCGGTGTATCTTTTCAATTTTGTTTCGACGAACTTATATCATATATATATTTTAATATTTTATATCATCAAAATGTTTTAATTGTAGATTTTAATGTCAAAAAGTTTGAAGCAACCATTAACCAGCAAGCAACGTCATTTGATCCATCTACCAACGTAGTTTTGACTGACACCAGCAGAGCCGTGGCCGTAAACAGATGTGACAAAACATCATGTGACTTGGTCAGCTGTACTGAAACCAATACGTGTACGCTTTTGTACATTCCACATCATTGTGAGGTTCGAAACAAATTAGGCTCGGCTGTTTATAAATCTTCAGAAAACGAAGAGTCTTGTTCAGCACCGCCACCGTCCTGAAAGTATTACACCACCGCCCTGAAAGTATTACACCAGGGCGACCTGCAGTAGAGTCATTTCCGTTCAACAATATAAATAAAATGTAAATGTATAGTCTAACTTGTATTAAGCAGCCAGTCAAGGGAATGCTCAAAAGTGGCTGCTTCCAATGTTGTCTTTTTTTTAAATAAGGGGACGTATCCCCCACAAATATTATCGAAAAAAAACCTTCTCGGCCAAACAAGTAGTGTTCCTGGGTGATGCATGCTATAGAAATAAGTAAGTTCTGAAAGAAAAACCACTGAAAAAAATCGGGCAGCAACCCCTAAACAAAGACAATACAGGTAAATTTCGTAGGAAAAATTCGGGCAAAACCAGCTTGCCACCCCTCCACCTCCCCCCTCTCCCCCCTCTCCCCATATTACCCGGATTTTTTAACCCGGTCTCCCCATGTCCGTGATACAGGTCGAAGGCAATAAACCGATGCCCGATGTGCTACAGGCCGTATAGGGTATCCATGTTAAAGATCCCTCTACAGTTGGAAATCAAAAAAGAGTTTCCCACATTGCATACTGTATCGTGTTGTCGGTCTTTATCAGCCTAATAAAGGGCAGAAAAGAGGAACTTAAAACTGCATTTTTTCCTTTTTGATATTGTTACTTGATTGTGGTCTGAGGTCATTAACGATTCTTCTCTCCCTTCTTAGCACACGCTTTGCTAACATTTTCTACATTTCTAAATCTCAACGCGCGACATTATCTATTGTCTATCCATAATAGTAAACAGATGATTTCCGAACAGGTCTTGTTCACAGTGGCCGTGTGCAAAAATTTACAGAGTGCAGTATCTTGAAATATTAATATTATTTTACGTAAAGTGGAATCTGTCTCGTAAAGTGGAATCTGTCTCGTAAAGTGGAATCTGTCTCGTAAAGTGGAATCTGTCTCGTAAAGTGGAATCTGTCTCGTAAAGTGGAATCTGTTTCATGAAAGAATGTTTATGTGTATCGGGGACACTGATTTGCATCGAATTGCACCATTTCAGTTTGGATGTGTCTGTGATGCCTGTAATTTTTCATACTGCCCGTTTAAGTTTTATTTTTTCTTTATGAATAATCTTATTTAGTAAGATAAGATTTATTGTATATACGTCCATTGTGGGCAGCATTCAAATATAAAACAGTACAATAAGGTGAGAGATATAATGAATTTAGATTTAGTATAGATATATGTTACTTTATATATAAAACAAAGAAGTGACATGGTCCTTTATAGGACAAACATGAAAACAGTACAATAATGTGAAAAATTGATAACCGGTGCCGCGGTTTGTTTTTACTGTGGTGTAACAGAACAGTTCTTGTCATCTAATTTATTAATAATTTCTATAGATATCAAAACTGTATTCTCTTAGGTAATCATCTTATGCATCATTTAAATCTTGAACAATGATAATAAAGGCCGTGGTGCCTATCTCCTTTTCAAGATACAATTAGCCTATGGATGGTTTCAGATGTGTGTGGGACAGTATAATAGAAAAAAGATGATGCCATGTGTCCGCTTTTTTTTATCTCGTGTACTAGTTCTTTTATCCACTACTGTATCGTTAATCTGTTATATACCATATTGAAACATAAAATATTGTGAAAAGTCTTGAATATTAATAGTGACGTTTACAGGTGGCCCCACCCCCACCTTTCAGACCTTTGAAAGGTTACTTTGAAGTGAAATTGTCATCTCAGTCCTTGTGAAATCTGTTGGCATAGTCTAGGAGAGACACCTTTTTTTTGGAAATGATCAAATCAAACGCCAATGTTCGGCGGTCTGTTCTACAGCGTGTTGAAAGCGCCATAGGATCCAGAGGGTCAGACAAGCGTTGTAACATCTCCTTGAGCGTTATAAAAGCGCAGTACATGCTTGACAAAGACGCTGCGAAAAACGTTAGAACGCAATATATTCGCATAACTCGCAGTTACAGGTCGACTGTTTTGAAGTTAGTAATTTTTCAGGGACTTTTCCTCTAGTTTTCTTCATGACTAGTGCATTTCATGTCGCCGTAAGATCCCAAATATGCATGTACGCAGTCCGGGCTGACGGGACTATATAAAACATTACGATCAATTGTCTCCCTTTACGACCTTAATTCAATTTCGTACCCTCAACTTAGTGAAATTTTTATTTGATAGTTTCAATGCCCTATTTGTAAGCCATTTCACTCGATTTAAGACATTTTTTGTTCGGTTGTCTCACTTGAAGAGTGACGGGTGCAGGACTGGGTGCAGGATTGGGAAGGGCTACCGCTAAATTGTTTTTCGACCCAATTATAAAAAGTTTTGTAAATAAATAATCCTGCATTTTATACAATTTGCAAGAAAATCTTTTCAATATTATTACATTGGAAAAAAGCATTTTCCACTAAACAATATGTAATTTGTAATTTGAGAGTTGGCTTAGGCAGTCAAGGTGTAAGACGAAGTTCGTAGAAGCTTAACATGATGAAGGTGATTCCACTGTGTACCATCTTTTTCTTATATTCTTATATAAAGTAGCTTTAATTACGGTATAAAAAGAAATTATTTTTATATCACATCAGTAAAGATGAGAGTTTGTTTCAGCAATCAGTTCTATTAGTTCTTAATATAAGGTAAGAGTGTTTGTCTTTTTTACATGGATCCATTTATCATTCATAAACTTGGGCTTAAACTTTTTGTATATTTTATAAACGATACACATTGTAACTTTATTATTTTTCAGGTAAATAAATAAAATGGCGGTTGTAGTTGGCTGTACGCTCTGTGTAATGGCTTACATAAGTTTTTCGTCGGCAGCACGTAAGTTTTTAACAACAATATTATTCTATTTTTTGTGTTCTTCAACAAAATCTGCATTGATATAAAATAAATAGTGTAAAAGCTGGCCACCTCCCGGTTGACAAACATAATTTACTTGGTTCACTTTTTTCAGAAAAATAAAAACAGTTAAAAACAAAGCAATTCCAAGAAAAAATGGTGCATTGTAGGCTATTGTTAGGGACGAGTCTATGTATCGAGCACACTATTGCTCCTCTGTCAGCTCTTGGAGTAAATCTTACTGATTTCAAGTAAAACAACTGGATAACAAATCTGAATTCAGTTTATTATTAACTTCTCCAAATCTATTCAAATCAAAGTTGACTTAAAACCGTAAAAAACTGAAATTACAATATCAATGAAGAGGTGAGTTCGGATACTCGAATGATGTTTATAATTACATTTTAAATTGGCTTCATTGCACACTGACCGTGGCGTACTGATAACGCAATAGTATTGCAATTGATACGTTTACCTATTACATCTAAAACTGGGGTTCTTATCTTGTAACATTGATTCTAGGGTATCATAGGTTCTTATCTTATAACATCGATTCTAGGCCTAGGTTCTTATCTTGTAACATTGATTCTAGGCCTAGGTCCTTATCTTATAACATTGATTCTAGGACATTCTAGGTTCTTATCGTATAACATCGATTCTAGGCCTAGGTCCTTATCTTATAACATTGATTCTAGGGTATCATAGGTTCTTATCTTATAACATCGATTCTAGGCCTAGGTCCTTATCTTCTAACATTGATTCTAGGATGTCCTAGGTTCTTATGTTATAACATTGATTCTAGGACATTCTAGGTTCTTATCTTATAACATCGATTCTAGGCCTAGGTCCTTATGTTATAACATTGATTCTAGGGTATCATAGGTTCTTATCTTATAACATCGATTCTAGGCCTAGGTCCTTATCTTATAACATTGATTCTAGGGTATCATAGGTTCTTATCATTGATTCTAGGACATTCTAGGTTCTTATCTTATAACATCGATTCTAGGCCTAGGCCCTTATCTTATAACATTGATTCTAGGGTATCATAGGTTCTTATCTTATAACATCGATTCTAGGCCTAGGTTCTTATCTTATAACATTGATTCTAGGGTATCATAGGTTCTTATCTTATAACATCGATTCTAGGCCTAGGTTCTTATCTTATAACATTGATTCTAGGGTATCATAGGTTCTTATCTTATAACATCGATTCTAGGCCTAGGTCCTTATCTTATAACATTGATTCTAGAGTATCATAGGTTCTTATCATTGATTCTAGGACATTCTAGGTTCTTATCTTATAACATCGATTCTAGGCCTAGGTCCTTATCTTATAACATTGATTCTAGGGTATCATAGGTTCTTATCATTTATTCTAGGACATTCTAGGTTCTTATCTTGTAACATCGATTCTAGGCCTAGGTCCTTATCTTATAACATTGATTTTAGGACATTCTAGGTTCTTATCTTATAACATCGATTCTAGGCCTAGGTCCTTATCTTATAACATTGATTCTAGGGTATCATAGGTTCTTATCATTTATTCTAGGACATTCTAGGTTCTTATCTTGTAACATCGATTCTAGGCCTAGGTCCTTATCTTATAACATTGATTTTAGGACATTCTAGGTTCTTATCTTATAACATCGATTCTAGGCCTAGGTCCTTATGTTATAACATTGATTCTAGGGTATCATAGGTTCTTATCATTGATTCTGGGACATTCTGGGTTCTTATCTTATAACATCGATTCTAGACCTAGGTTCTTATCTTATAACATTGATTCTAGGACATCCTAGCGCTAAGATCGTTTAGGTGTAATAGTCTCTAGGTAATTTGGGTCATTTATGTCAGAAATAGACAAAAGGTGCCTATTGACAACATATTCCGCCTCGATCATGAAGGTCAGGAGTGTTTCATCGTCCAACATTTCACTGTGGAGATACGACTACGTTTCTTATGGATCGTATGAGTCGTTCCCAGGGTCCACCAATATGGCTTGATTCTGGAACGTTTATTGCTAAAGTAAACCAGTTACAGTAAGTTGTTCTTACGAAGTTCCTTTGAGATTTGGTCATTATCCATTTCCTTTAAGGCTGATTTTAGTTCATTCTCTGCACCTTTGAAGTTTGAGCCTTGGTCTGAGCGAATCTGTTGAACTGGACCTCATCTGCAGATGACGAATTTGTATCCATTCGATGGGCGACCTCCAAATGCGGCGTAAGTCGGCGTTTTGGATGCGACCACCAACACGAATTAGTCCGTCTTCGTCAAGGTTCTAAGCTATGGTTTCCGCATATGAAATGAAACAGCACTTCGTTGCCCATCTTCTCAACACAAAATGGTCCGAAAAAAAGAATATCGTAAAATCACGTCTAATGAAATCGGCATCAACACCATTTTCAGATTCATATTGATTCGCAGTCTTCTTTAAGCCAAAATTGGCACAACCACGTGAAATTGATGCACCGAAAAGATGAACTCTCATTCGATATACTGTTGGTTCGTTGCTTGTGTCGCCATCTTTCCACCATAAAAAGCGCAATTAATCTAAATTACTCTAAACTGGAAGAACATAGCCTCTACATCACAAAAGAGGCAATTTTCTCCTTTCTAAAGCTACATAACACACCAACTAGATTGTTAGTGAGGTCAGAGCCGTGTAGAAGATGAATATTAAGTGAATCAATAAGATAAGTACTGCTGCAGTCAAATACGACATATCATCCGGTTCCTTCAGTGGCGGAGCCAAAGGGGGGACCCCCCGCACTCCCGAAGGCATGTTTTTCGGGCAAAAAGCCATATAAATCATATAAAACTACCCATCAACAATAGCTTCTGGTTCTCTTGTGACTTCAAATATTGGATTGATTCCATAGCAGTCTTAGTGTATTGTAGTTGGTCTGAGACACGTCGCAATGCAGGTCTATCATTGTGTTGAATGGGAGGAGGCCTTCCTTTTGGGTCGCCGTATCTCTCTTGCAATAAAAGTTTAGCCTTCTGGTACGATTCCGTAGTATCTAATCCAAATAATGGTTCAACCTGCCGTATAGTGTTCGTTTTCTTTCTTTCTATAAAAGTTACTTCATCGATGTGGTATATTTTATACTGTCACGGATGCGCGTAATTAGCGAACAAAGGAAACTCGATAATGTAAACAAATGATTTACCTCGAACAAAGGAAAGCGAACAATGGTGCCAAGAAGAACAAAAGATCCTGAAAGTGAAACAATGCGGTGCCAATATCGGTAAATCGCCAGATGCGTTCGAATTGAATTGTCGTTCGAAACAAAGGAAATTGAGAACGCGGGACAAGTCGAAGCGTATAATTCCAGAAAATCTAAATAAAAGGAATACCGTCGAACACCCGATCCAGTTGACGGGGGTCTATGGTGTGTTGCCTGGTCGAGATTCATTACCCCCTCACTTGTGCGTTAGAATTAGATTAGATTGTAGCATATAGGTGTTTAATCAAAATCAATATCTTCTTAATGGGGTGGAAATGAAAATGCGAACACTGTCGTCTTAGGAAAACGCAATGCAATCCAATACATGTATTGCTTTAAAGATAGCTTACCAGGCAAGGTAATATACGCCCAGTGGCAGCTTTGAATTAAAAAAAAAATATTTGGCAGTACAGTAACAATTACCAGTATGATATATTCAACCTTCAGACATACACTTCTTTTGAACTTTTTGAGGCGATAAGGAATATTATTACCAAGTTTCGTCAAAATCCGTCAAAATCTGTGCCTTGTAGAGTGTTTACGTGCTAAAAATTGAACGCGTTTTCAAATATTTTTCGATTCTTCTGATTTTCAATAGGGTTCATTCTTGGGTGATTACAAACCAGGTTTTGTCCAAATCCGTCAAGAATTGCCACTTGTAGAATTGCCCTATACAATCCCTGGCGCCGCCACTACAAAGTAACTGTCTGGTTTGCCACCCAAAGCAATATCTTGCTTTTATATTCATTGATGTTCGTAATTTCGTTGCTTTCTGTTTATTTACAGTTTGTCCTGACAAAACCAAGTGGAATTATCCAGTATTTTGGATTGGTCTACCAGGTAACTATGGATGTGAAATTTATTCAGCAAATGGGCGCTCAACTAAAGCGAATGCTGTTTTGGAATGCCCGTATACTACAGATCGAGTTTATGAACCATTGACAATGTTTGGTCATGAAATAAACCAGGAATCACTAACTATTGCTACTCGAATGCCGGCTTCTACCGGTAAAAGTTTTCATGGTTGTTTAGTACAATCCGATAACCCAATTTCAGTCGTAGCAATAAATAAGTATGATGGTCTAATTGAAGGCAGTCAGTTTCGGGAACTGAAAGAATTGGGAACAGAATATTATATTATGACTGCAAACTCGAACATCTCTTCTAAACCAGAGTTCGCCATCATGGCGCCTTTCGCGGGTACAAAAGTCAGCGTGCGACTTCCTCTGGTACGACCAATCTCTGTTAATTACGGCGGTACGACCTACACCACTGGCGATTGGATTAATGATACCCTGAAAGATTTTCAAACCATGAGGATAGTAACGAATAAAATAGATTTAACCGGTTCTTACGTCGTGTCGGATAAACCGGTTGCGGTTGTGGCTGGAGACTATGAAACCAAAGTTCCGATTGGCGGAACAGTAGTGAGTGGACACGTAGAGGAATCCATGCCACCAGTCCAAGAATTGGGTAGAGATTACATTGTAGCGCCTCTAATTCACGAGAACTATACCTGCTCGTTACGCATTTTGGCTGTAAGTAACGTCACAGATGTAACAGGCGTTACAATATCGAATATAACTGACACGGTCGGATTCGCCGTTTCGATTCCTTTCAATGAAGTTTATGATTACGACTTCAACTGCGAACTCCAGCTTATTCGTGCAAACCAAGATATTATGGTCGGACTGTTCACACAAACTGGAGGTATAGTTGGTGGAAAGCCTGCGTATTTTGTTTTGACACCGTTAGAGAAAGCGGGAAATGTAGCGTGGTTTAGCGTGCCTGATTATCATGGTTTAAATCTGTACTTTGAGCACAATTACGTGAACATTATTGTGAAGGCTTCTGATGCTGGTGGAATTCGAGTTAAGAACTCGAGAATCACATCCCAATTCCATCAAGACATTGACGTTGGAGGCGAAAACTACTCTGCATACTCTGTACGGGTATGGGCATTTTCTATTGAAGCTCAATGGATTCACCACACATCAGGGGGTAAATTTGTATGTTATTTTGAAGCGAGGTATAACGACTGGAGAACTTACGGATATACCCTGATACCTTATCAACAGGTAAGTTATCGTTTACTTTCGTCTGTTCAGTAAGTGATTGTGCATGTTGTACCACTAGCTGATCCTGAAAACTTTATGGTTGCCATCTAGGTCAGTGTCTTCTCTTTTGCAGAAATTTTTCAACCCGCTTTCCCCTGTCCGTGATGCAGATAAGACACGGACAGAGCGATGGGACAATAAACCGAGGCCCCGTGTGCTACAGCACATATTCATTGTACACTGCATGGCCTTGTGTCTTTATCAGCCCAATAGACTGAAATGATAAAGTACGACGTGACACATGTTCTCTTTTAATTTCAGGGACCAGATTTTCTATTCTGGAATGCAGATGATCATGTCGCCACTGCTAAAAACATAACATACAATTCAAGTAAGTATGTTATTGGTGAAAAAAAAACACTACCAAGATTTCTTTTTTATGATATCCGCATCCTGGGGGATTTTTCGAGAGAAAGGGGTAATACCAGAGGGGAGGGGTAATATCTGTTTCATAAATCAGAGAAGACTTGTTCTTTTTTGTGAATATTGAGAAAACAACGCATGAAATAAGGGGCGCAACTCTTTTCTAAATTTCCATGTGTATAAGGGGGACACTAATAGCTTCGATTTGCACCGTTTTAATCAGTCGTGTGTTTTTCTTGCAATTTCACAAAAATTAAACGGAATTCGTGCAAGGTTCGGTGTAATTTTTGTTTCGACGAACTTGTATCATATATATTTTATATCATCAAAATGTTTTAATTGTAGATTTTAATGTCAAAAAGTTTGAAGCAACCAGTAACCGACAAGCAAAGCCCTTTGACGCATCTACCAACGTAGTTTTGACTAACACCAACAGAGTCGTGGCCTAACAGGTGTAAGAAAACATCATGCGACTTGATCAGCTGTACTGAAACCAATACGTGTACGCTNATATTACTCCACTTAT